GGGCCCCCTTTTTTGGGTTTCCCGAATTCCCCCGGGGGTTTTCGGGGGGGGGATTGGACCCCCCTGTTCGGGGGAAACCCGGGGGTTTCCCTCCCGGTTTTTTTGGGGAGGGGGGTTAAAGGTTTAAACGGTTTCGGGCACCCCGGTTTAGGGTCCCCCCCCCCCCCCCCCCCCCCTCGGGTGTTTGCACTGTATACATTGGACATGAAATTGTCACAGCTGAGCATCGTCACGAGCGAGAGGCTCCGAGCTTTGCCTGCCGTAGGCGGGACGACCACACTCGTTGCAACATCACGTAACGTTCCACAGCACCCGCCACAGGCCACGCCAACGGTTCGGACAAACCCTACCATGGAAAGTGGAGGCTGCATGCACGTCGGACCAACGTGTGTACCATGAACGAACCATCAACCTATAACCTTTAGACCCTAACTAACACCCAAAAAAGTACAGGAGGGTAGTGTGCGTCCTTGGTCCCCCACGCGAAAAACATAACAAAAACTCACCCAAGCTGAGCTTGACAAAGTAGGTCCCATCCTCGAAGACCTCCAGCACCCGTGCAACTCCCCCGAGCTTGTTCATCCCCTTCGACGTGCGCGCCTTCAGCACCACCAAGTCGCCCTTGCTCCACGAGTCTCCTCCCGCGGCACTGCCTCCAGCCTCCCCTCCCCCGCCGCCGGCCCCGGCCCCGGCCCCGCTGCCTTGGGCGGAGCTGGCTTGCGACGCCCGGTCTCGCGGGGTGATGTCCACCGGCGGGGCGTCCGGTCGTGGCGATTCAGGAGCGGCGGTGGCGGGGGAAGACGCGTCTTGTGGCGGTGCGGTTTCGGCGGCGGGGGGAGCAGTAGCAGCAGCAGCGGGCGCAGTAGGTTCAGCCGTGATCTGCGCGACCGTCGCCGCCGGGCAAGCGGCGGCGGCGGCGCTGCTGCCGCCGCTGCTACCGTCACCACCTGCTGCCCTTGCCCCGACCGACGCCGCCACGCTCCCAGTACCAGTACCAGCAGCAGCAGCAGCAGCAGTGCCAGCAGCAGCAGCAGCAGCAGCAGCAGCAGCAGCAGCAGCAGCAGCAGCAGTAGCAGTACTAGCAGCAGCAGCAGTACCAGCAGCAGCAGCAGTGCCAGCAGCAGCAGCAGCAGTGCCAGCAGCAGCAGCAGTACCAGCAGTACCAGCAGTACCAGCAGCAGCAGCAGCACTGCTACCACTACCACCGCCACCTGCCCTTCGTCCGACAACGGGCGACGCCGAGGCGCCACCGCTGACACCACCGTCCGCACCGCCGCAACGCTTCAGCCTCTTGGACGACCCAGCGGACGCGTTACCGCCTTCGTCCACGCGACCGGGCGACCGGGTCGGCGTGTGCGGGGCCGCTGCTCCGCGCGGAGGGGGGGGCACGGCCGCCACCGTCACCGCCGTTACGGCGGCATGCGGCCTCTTCGTCGTCGCTCCCGAAGAAGAAGGCGGCGGCGTTTTCGCCGGGGAGGTGCGGGAGTCCAGCAGCCTCCCGGCCGTCGAGAGCGGGGTCACCACCCCCGCCTTCGGCCCCCGGGTAGACGCACCGCCGCCGGTGCTGCCGCTGCGACCTGCGGCCGAAACAGACATCGCGAGCTTCTTGACGGTAGCTTCATCGACCCGGGAGGAAGGCGAAGACGAGGCTCCCCGCGCCCCCCCGCCGGCGGCGCCGGCAGCGGGGGGCACTCGGACGGTGCTCGGCGCAGAGGAAACAGCCGGAGACTTCCCTCCTCCTCCTCCTCCTCCTGAGGCCGCGGCGGCGCGTGGCTTTCCGGCGGAGCCGGCCCTTGGCCGCGGCTGCTGCTGCTGCTGCTGCTGCTGCAGCGGGCTTGGTGTGAGCGTGCTCGGCGCTGCCCCAGCCCGAGAGCCAGCAGCAGTAGTAGCAGCGGCGCCGCTCTTCGAAGTCGTCGCCGTCGCTGCGCGGCGGGCGACAGGGGTCTGCGATCCCTTCTTCTGGTTGGTCTTCTTCCCTTGAGGGGTTGAACCCCCCCGCGCCCCCCTTGCCGCTGCCGGGCGCGAGTTATCCCTGGCAACACCGGCACTGCTGGCGCCGCCGGCTTTCTTGGAAGCGGAGGTCGGGGTCGTCGTCGCCGGCCGAGGTGATGCCGCCCCCGACTGGGAGTTGATGCTGCCGCTCCTGGTTGGAGGCGCCGACCAGGCCGCGGGGAGCGGGTGCAGGAGGAAGGAGCAAGTGGACGAGGACGGGGCTCGGAAACCGTCGAGCTGGAGAGTGTCGCCCGGGTACAGGAAGGACTGCTGGCCGCCCTGTGTCGTTGGATCGTTGGGGGAAACGGCAGTCCAAGTCAGTCAGTCGCGGTTCAAACAAGGAAGAGCGAAATACGTGTGGTCCATTTGCAGGTTTCGTTTTTGACGTGCGAATGCCTGCAAAATGCTCTCATCTTGCTCTTCCGCCGCCAAAAGAATGGTATCATTCTCTCCATCTTACACCATAAGTAAATGGCGTTTGTTGTGGGTGAGCAATGTCGCACACCTACCTTAGGTTGCATAATAAAAAACCACATTCCTGGACCGATTTTCAAAAACTCGGTTACTGAGAGACGACGACGATGTCAACATGAAATCATGATACGTTTCCGGATTGCTCACGATGTAACGCTTCCAACCCCGAATTTCCAGGCACTGCCACCAACCGGGCTTTAAAAATCGGTCCAGGGTGTATCACATGTGTGTGTGTACTCATAGTCGTGCATGTCGTAGTCGTTAGACCATTGGCCTCGCATCCCGACACTGCTGTCGGGACGGAGCCATATGCCCGGTTTCCGCAGGCCCAGGCTACGGTTCACAAGGATGAAGCAGAAGCTGGCCACCATCCTTGCACCCTGACATCGCTCCAGGGGGGTGTCGTATCTTACGCAATAAAACTTTCGGTCCAGGGGGTTTGGTATATTATACAATAACAGATGGATTCGTTGGGTCATATTAAGAGCATAAAAAAAAAACACCTTCGGTCCGGGGGGGTTGGTATCCCAAGCAACCTATCGTACCATGTTACGCCACGTTTCACACCTGGAGCATCTCCCCTGCTCGCAGACTCCTCGCCGCCCCCGGCGCGCCGATCCGCAGCTCCGCCCGTTGGGCCGGCGTCAGCCCCGGCGAGCCCTTCCACCTGGTGATGCGGATGCCGTTGATGGCGCCCTGCTTGTGCGTGACTTGCAACCGCCCTTCCAGCGGGCAAACCTGCACGATCGCCTGGCTCCGCGACACGCCCTGGTGCACGTTCGGGGGGGGGAGGGGGGGGGGGGGGGGGGGGGTACCCCAATTGGGGGGCAAATTTTTTAAAAAACCTTTGCCCCCCCCCCCCCTGAAAGAGAGGGGCGCCTGGGAAAAAAACCCCGGGCAAAAGGGGGGGGGGAAAAGCCGCCCTTTTGGTTTGCCCTTCGGGTTTCCCC